GAGAAGAGACCCAGATACAAACAGAAATGCCAGAAGGGGTGAGTATATCCAGTTCCAGTTTGCAGCTCAGCTAGCTGGAGCAAGGATGGGGGAAAGAGAGGTGTTGAGTGTCCTGCATACAGGAGATGTCTGCTGCTTTTCTCTTGTCCTGTTGTTCTCCAGGCAAAAGAACGTTTTACCCCTTGGTAAGACAGCAAGGAGAAACTTGCTCTTTTTTTTCCCTTTTGTTGGTCTAAGGAGCTGGAGAGAGAGAGGAAGAGGAGATTGTCGTCATCATCAGGGGAGAGCATGGAGCAGCAAGTGAGGCAGGAGGGAGAAGGCTGCAGGAGCCACCACAAGGGAAGCCTTGATGCTTGATGCTGCAGGGCTTGACAGGTTCTCAGCCCTGCCTCACTGTTATTCCTGTTCCCTTCTGCCAAGAGAGATGTCAACGCGTGAAGATGTTGGAGCATCACATAAAATGAGACTTTGATTCTTATTTGTGTACAGCTTGGACGTGCTTAAAACTCTTAACAGTAACAGGGATCAGGGCAGTTCCAGTCCCTGCGCTCAATCCTACCCTGTCCTGCCTAGGCCTAGTGTGTTCCTTCGTGCCTCTCCTGGCTAGAAGAGGATGCAGAAAGGTGCATGCTTCCTCTTTTGAGGTTGCAGCACTGGTCCTGTGTGGCCTCTTTTCCCATTTTCATGTTAACTGATTACATTAAAGGCTCTGATGTTTTGAATTTTGAGAAGTGTCTTTTGGACATGGCTGCCCAGGATGGGTTCTCCGGGCAGCTCTGTGACACTGCAGCAAGGGACCCTTTGTGGCAGTTGGTGTTTTGAAGACTGCTGCAAATGGTGAAGCTCCTGTTTGGCTCTTCCCTTTTGGATGGAAGGCGAGATGAAGCGAGCAGCTCCAGTGCTGGCACGACCCGCAGTGGAGCGCTCTGGTGCGGTGTACCAGGGGGTTTCCTGAACTGGGGAAACCTCAGGGGAGCAGAGGGACCCGCCAGGAGCTGGCAGCTCATGTGAAAGCGGCTAACAAGACCTGGGTGGTGCCAGGAACAGCCGTGGCCGAGCCCCCACATCTATAAAAGAAACCCCTGGGGAGCATCAGCCAGGGCATGGCGTGGCAGGGTGCGCAGGAAGGGCGCTGTAACTCTGCCAGCTCGATCAGGGAGCAGTGCTATGTCCGCAACTGATGCAGCTTCCCAGACAGAGTTCCGATGGGAACGTCCTGCTTCCCGGGTGCCAGGCTGCAGGGTGTGCCCTTCTGTTACACCAGTACCGGACGGCTGCAGTGAGCACACCTGTGGGAGGTGCGCCCAGGCAGAGGAACTCCTCAGCTTAGTGGCAGAGCTCCGGGAGGAGGTGATTAGGTTGAGGAGTATCAGGGAGTGTGAGAGGGAACCGCACCCTACCTTCCCTGGGACAGGCCCAACAGGCAGACAGGACGCATGCTACGGAGGATTCCCTATCCTCTCTTCGCCTGGCAGAACGCGGTGACTTAAGGTATAGGGGGGAATGGCAACAAGTTCCTGCTCGGCGCAGCAAGTGCATCTCATCCGTGACTACCCCACCTTTCCAGGTGCCCTTGCATGATAGGTACGAGGCTCTGCAAGTGGAACCGAACAATAACGAGGACAATGGTCCATCTAGGTTGGAGGCGTCGCCAAGGTCAAGTCAGCCTGCGCACCACATCAAAACCACTTCCATTAAGAAAAAAAGACAGGTTATTGTCATAGGAGACTCTTCTGAGTGGAACAGAAGGCCCAATATGCCAACCAGTTAGTAAGGTCCCCTGGGAATCTGCTTTTGAAGGTATTGGGGCCTATGAATGCTGGTCACTTTTTAAAAGCATCTCAAGAGCGCAGAAGCAGGCAATTCCAAAGCGTTGGAAGTCAAGCAAGTGGGGCAGAAGGCCGGCTTGCATGAGCAGGGATCTTCTAGAACTTAGGTGGAAAAGGAAAGTGTATGGACATTGGGAGCAAGGACAGGTGACACAGGATGACTACAGAGATGCTGTTTGCTATTGTAGGGAGAAAATTCATGCGGCCAAAGCTCAATTAGAGTTTAAGCTGGCCAGTACTGTGAAGGACAACAAAAAGGGCTTTTTTAAATATGTTAACAGCAAAAGGAGGATCAGAGATAACATTGGTCCATTACTTGATGAGGTCAGTCACCTCACAAATAGGGACACAGACAAAGCAGAGACGTTTAATGACTTCTTTACCTCTGTCTTCAACACCAATGATGGGCCCTGGGAGCCCCAGAGCCTTGTGTTGGAAGACCGTGACTGGGGGGATGATAAACTTGCAGCCGAACCTGAACTTGTTTGAGACTTGCTGCTCCAGTTGGATGTGCATAAGTCTATGAGGCCTGATGGGATTCATCTCAGGATACTGAAAGAGCTGGTTGATGTCATCACGGGACCTCTCTCCATTATTTTTCAATGGTCTTGGGAGTCTGGAGAGGTCCCAGTCAACTGGAAGCTAGCAAATGTTGTCCTAGTTTTCAAGAAGGATAAGAAGGAAGACCCTGGTAATTACAGGCCTGTCAGTCTCACTTCAGTACCTGGTAAAATTATGGAGAAGTTTATGCTGGGAGTTACTGAAAAACACTTGAGAGACAACGCAGTCATTGGTCGTAGCCAGCACGGGTTCACGAGGGGAAAGTCCTGTTTAACAAACTTAATTTCCTTTTATGACAAGGTGACCTATCTAGTTGACCAAGGGAAGCCAGTAGATGTGGTTTTTTTGGATTTTAGCAAAGCTTTTGATACTGTCTCTCACAGTATCCTTCTGGATAAACAGTCCAGCACACAGACAGACAAGTCCATAATACATTGGATGAGCAATTGGCTGATGGGTCGGGCTCAAAGGGTTATAGTAAATGGGGTTACATCAGGCTGGCGGCCAGTCACCAGTGGGGTTCCCCAGGGCTCAATTTTAGGGCCAGTGCTCTTTAATATTTTTATAAATGATCTGGACGCAGGAATCGAATGTACATTAAGTAACTTTGCCGACGATACTAAGCTAGGAGGAGCTGTGGTCTCCCTCGAGGGTAGAGAGGCCTTAGAGAGAGAGCTGGATAGACTAGAGAGCTGGGCAATCACCAACCACATGAAGTTTAACAAGAGCAAGTGCCAGATTCTGCACCTGGAGCGGAGTAATCCTGATTATACATACAAATTGGGGGATGAGAGACTGGAGAGCAGCCCTGCAGAAAGAGATCTGGGGGATTGTGTTAATGGCAAGTTGAATATGAGTCAACAGTGTGCCCTGGCAGCGAAAAGGGCCAACAGTGTCCTGTGGTGCATCAAGCATGGCATAGCTAGCCTGTCGAGGGAGGTGATTGCCCCAATCTACACTGCAGTGGTGCAGCCCCACCTCAAGTACTGTGTGCAGTTTTGGGTGCCTCGATATAAGAAGGACATCAAACCATTAGAGTGTGTCCAGAAGAAGGCAACCAAGATGGTGAAAGGCCTCCAGGGCAAGACTTAGGAGGAGCAGCTGAGGTCACGTGGTTTGTTCAGCTTGGAGAAGAGAAGGCTGAGGGGGGACCTCATCCCAGTCTACAACTTCCTCAAGGAGGGCAGTGGAGGGGGAGGTGCTGGTCTCCTCTCTCTGGTGACCAGCGACAGGACATGAGGAAATGGAATGAAGCTGTGTCAGGGGAAGTTCAGATTGGACATTAGGAAAACGTTCTTCACTGAGACATTGGTCAGTCACTGGAACAGGATCCCCAGGGAAGTGGTCACGGCACCAAGCCTGTCAGAGTTCAAGGAGTGTCTGGACGATACTCTTAGTCATATGGTTTAGCTTTAGGTAGTCCTGCGAGGAGCAGGGAGTTGCACTTGATGATCCTTATGGGTCCCTTCCAACTCGAGATACTCTATGATTCTACTTGACAGATCAAAGGTGGAGAAAGCCCCTTGCCTCAGCAGAGGAGACAGAGGAGGAAGAGAATTGCAGGTCCTTATCACACAGGAACAGGAGGATATAATGGAGTAGGAGAATGTGAGAAGACCAGTAGAGAATATTTTTGTGGAACTGAGGACTATTTCAGCAGAGTGGGAAGTGCTCCAGTGCAAGGTAGCGAATTTATGGCTATGCATCCCTGCTGCTTTGGAGGGTTTTGGAGAGAGCAGGTCAAAGTGGGTTGAGAAGGAGTGACTTCTCCATAAAGAATGTAGTGGGCTTGTTCCTTGATCTGCTGACTTTTAACTTCTTCAGGCCTGGAAAAGCTCTTTTTATTTTGCTGATTGATATAATTCCTGTGCATGCACTCTCCTCCCATTTCAGGTGGAGAAAACTGAGCATGAGAAGTGTTGCCTGAAAACAGAGTTCTCGCTGCTTGTTGGCAGCTGAAATGCCAACAGGAACTGGGCGCTGCTCAGAGCTCAGAAGATGGAAGGCTTGCCCTGCAGCAAGAAATACACGTGTTAGTGCCAAGCTGTGTGGCAGAAGTGGAAAGCAAAGCTGGCGAGGTCTGCAGAGGAGAAGGCTGAACTGACAGAGAGACTCAAGAATAGAGAGATGCACTTAGGGGTGCTGAGGGAGGCACAGGTTTCCTGCAGGGGCTCAGAGAAAGAAGACGTGAAGAGGTCAGAGCTGTGGGTTGGCTGGTTGGCAGTCCCTGTCATCCCTAAGGTGGGGGGAGAGGGCAGGAGTCATCATGGGCTGCTATTTCCATAGGACACTGCTTCCCTGGTATCCATCGCCCTGCTGTATAGGTAACTGCGTTATAAGTGAGGATCCTGCTGTTGTGAGGAGGTGGAATCACCAGATGAATCCAAATAATTGATCTGGCTTCAAAGATGCCCTACAGAAAGGCGCTTTGTCCATACTGTGTCTGTCCTATACTGTGGCACCTTGTTGCTGGATCCCTCACACAGTGTTGGGTCTGTAATGGAGATAATGTCCCTGGTAGCCAAACGGGTGTTAGAGGGACTGGGAGCTGATCTCTGCTGGTTGAGTTCCAAGGATTGTTATTGTTGGGGGATATTGATTTAATACCTGGCTGGTGGAACCTGCACAGAAGAGGCTCAGTTGTCTTACTGTGCCTCTTTCCTCTTGGCTAAGGCTTGGTTTCCTGTGGTGCAGCTGACATATCGAGGGCTGTCATTCACACTTTTTAAATCTCACTTCTTCCCTAGGTGTTGCCCCCTGCATCAATGCCCTGGCCTGCTTGGACCCAGCAGTTTCGCCTGCACTGTGAAGCTGGAGACTGAAGAAAAAGTTGCTTATGGGACTGCTGTCTTTCCCCCTTTTCTCAAAAAGATGACAGCAGTCCAGAGAGGAGATGGACCTCAGGAGAAAACCAGACCCTTAACAGCAAGGTAAGCGGTAGGTTGCAAGCTACTGCCCCACGCCATGTTCTGTCTTCTGTCCCTTGTTTGGGGTCCGTACTGAGGCCACGTGGAAGGTCTTGGTGAGATGCAGTTTGCTGTAAGGAGCCCTGGCCAGAGCTAGCGGATCTGTCCTGGGTAGTTTTCTCCTCCCTCCCTTTTTGAGAGAGGGATCTGCAGGACTCAAATGCTCCTTCATCCTGCTGTGTCCAGACAGAGAAGGGGAGCAGGGTGGAACAGAGGGAGGAACAGAAATCCTTTTCAAGTTGGTGTTTTAAAATCCTCCTGGTTTCTGTGTATCAGTGTTAACACCTTCACACCCTTGTGAGCTAAATTCATCTCCATGCATACAGTTCTCCAGCCCCATGGTCAATCTGGATGGCAGCTGACACCACTGCCTCTCTACTGCTGGAGCATTCAGCTCTGTCTGTGAATTGGTCTGTATGGAGGACATCTTTACCCAAGAGAAGCCAGATACCTTCTGGCTTCCAGCAAGGAAGCAAGTTTCTGGCTGAGAGAATTTCTCTGGATGAGTCTCACATTCTCTTTAACTTTTTTTTTTTTTGGGGGGGGGGGAGATGGGATTGATTGATTGATTGATTGATTTTCAACTTCTCTCTTTCACCCCCTCCTGAAACCCTTACTGCCCATGTCATGAGAGAGCAACGTGGGCTGCTCCCACACGGTGGCACTACTTGCCTGGCTGAGGGGCTGCCTGGCTGTGCCCCGCACTTGTACCTTCTGCCTGGCCACTGGTCGTGCCCACCGGTTGCCCAGGGAAAGGCCTGCAATGGGGCTGCTGGGTTGTCATGAGAGCAGTCGAGAGGACCGTGGCATCTCTCTCTCTGTAGCCCTCTGCACATGATGCAACTGGTTGGTGGATCACAGATCTATCTGGTTGACCTTCTGCTCCTCCTTGCAGGATCTTGGGGAAAGAGAAAGCCACTGGGTTACACCAGCTTTGAAAACATTGTGTGATAAGAACAGTCCTGCTCATCAGCAGTAATTCTCAGAGTTGTTTCTCTCATCATGATGGTGGGGCCAAACATCTCCTGTTGCTCCTGTTTTCCCTGCCTCAGCTCTTCCTCAGGCCGCTCTTGTTTCTCTTCACTGCTGCCATGCTGAACTACTTTTTCCAAATATGAGCTCTCCGCAGCACCTCCAACAAACTCCATCAACATCTTTGCCCTCCACCCTGTTCATCTCTCCCAACATCCCTATAACTCCCCCCCACTCTACTTTTTCCTATGTTCCTCTTTGTGCCCATGTTCCTTGTCCTTTTTGCCCAGCGCTGTTGGGAATCCATTACCAAATCCAAACCCAGAGGGCCTGGGCCATAACACAGACATGCAGATGGACTGGCCTTGCCCTTCATGAATTCAGGCTTTTGATTGCGTTACAAATGGGTCAGGTATCCAGGGCTCTGGCAGGCACAAGATCTGGTTGGGTTTGTGGACAAACACGCTCCAAATGATTTTGTAGCTGAAAAAGCTTGGAATGGCAGCCTGTCGGAAACATACCAGCCTGCCATGTTTAGTGAAATGCATCAGGCAAATGTATTTCAGGCAGGACATTTAGCAAATTTCTGTGAGTTTTTTCTTCAGGGACTGCAGTTCAACCTCACTGCTATCTCAGATGGGAGACAGGCGGTGGGGCTGGGTAGGTAGGGAGCCAGGGTCTTTGGGCTTTGTAGCTCTGCTACTGACATGTCCCCTGCATGAAATGAGCATGATAGCTGCTTGTCCTAAAATGAGAGTGAGCATCAGGAGCATTATGCTATAGAGAGAGGCTGATGCCATGAGTTTCCCTCAGCATCAATCCTCTGTGCTGGGGCAGCAAATGCCTGGCCAGGAGGAGGATTGATCCCCAAAGTCAAGGGATTGGTAGTTTGCTACAGCTGTAGCAGGTATTGAGGTCTGAGGTCAGCTGTGCTGTGAACTGGGGGCACTCCAGCTGGCTCATCCTCTCTTTTTCTTTTTTCTTTTTCTTTTTTTTTCTCTAACAAGCCCAAGCTGACCATAGACTAGGTATGAGGAAGGAATTTTTTACACTGAGGGTGGTGGAACACTGGCACAGGTTGCCCAGAGAAGTGGTGGATGCCCCATCCCTGGAAACATTCAAGGTCAGGTTGGATGGGGCTCTGAGCAACCTGATTTAGTTGAAGATGTCCCTGCCCACGGCAAGGGGGTCGGACTAGATGACCTTTAGAGGTCCTTTCCAACCCAAACTATTGTATGATTCTATGATTCTATAAAAGAAGAAATACTGGAAAAGCATGGGGACCTAGTGGAAGCTTCTCCCCCAGACCTGACTTGTCCCAGCCCCCCTACTTCTCCCCTTCAGAAAAGCTTTGCAGTACCTTACCAAGAAAGGGAAAAACTTCTGCACATAAAACAGGAGGATATGAATGTAGGTGGCAGCTTGCACACCTGTCTGCTCAAAGAAAAGCTGGGCACTCTGAGCAGCACCAGCCCTGCTAACAGTGTATCATGCTGCCTCAAGGCAGAGACTGCAGCATTGCCCATTAGCTCAACAGGAGATCAGAAGGAGACTGGTGTGGTCCAAGGAAAGCTGGAAAAGCAAATGCCAAACTTAATAGCAAAAAGACAGGCTTCAGACTTCAGTGTGTGTGTAAATTCATACAGGAGCACGAAAGACATAGACAAGGGATTCTTTGTGGCAGTTGGTGTTTTGAAGACTGCTGCAATTGGTGAAGCTCCCATTCGTCTCTTCCCTTTTGGATGGAAGGCAAGGCTTGACAGATCAAAGGTGGAGAAAGCCCCATGCCTCAGTGGTGGAGACAGAGGAAGAGGAGAATTGCAGGTCCTTAATACACAGGAACAGGAGGATATAATGGAGTGGGAGAATGTGAGAAGACCAGTGGAGAATATCTTTGTGGAACTGAGGACTATTTCAGCAGAGTGGGATTTGCTCAGGTGCAAGGTAACGAATCCGTGGCTATGCATCCCTGCTGCTTTGGAGGGTTTTGGAGAGAGCAGGTCAGAGTGGATTGAGAAGGAGTGACTTCTCTATAAAGAACGTAGTGGGCTGCGGCTTTGATCTGCTGACTCTTAAATTCTTCAGGCCTGGCAAAGCTCTTTTTGTCTTACCGACTGTGCTGGTTTTGGCTGGCATAGAGTTCATTTCCTTCACAGTAGCTAGTATGGGGCTATGTTTTAGTGTTATCACTAAAACAGCCTTGATAACACACCCATGTTTTAGCTATTGCTGAGCAGTGCTTACACAGGGTCAAGGCCTTTTCTGCTCCTCACACGGTCCCACCAGCGAGTAGGCTGGGGGTGCACAAGAAGCTGGGAGGGGGCACAGCCGGGACAGCTGACCCCAACTGACCACAGGGATATTCCATACCATATGATG